CAAATGGCTGCACAGATCAAAAGTTTGGAACATACCAAAAGTAACTTATACATCTGAATTTTGGATTTGAAGAAATGTTGAGTTTGTATCCCTCTATGCACATAATTTGAAATCTTCAAAATATTTGATAATATCAAGAAAATCACAGAATATATTTTGCATCATTATTATCAATGAGAAATAATCTCTAAAATGATTTAAGCATTAGAAGTTTTGTATGTATCAGTTTTTTATGGGTGTGCCTTAGATTCCATTTTAAAATATTTTGATACTTATAGATAGCAACATCTATATTCCCAAGCATCATCCATCCTTTTTAAAAAAATGCTTTAATGTCCTACATAGTTTTTAAGTGATAATTTACCAACAACAGGAATACATTTCTTCTTCTATGTAGCTCAAATTCATTTCATGATGGAAGGCAATTTAGAGACCCACCAGTTTCCGTTCTTGAGCTTGCAGTGGCCTTGGATTAATGGTAGATCATAATTTAACAAAATCCAACCAAGAGGTTTTACGGTTTTTATTCTTAAGGATGTTTGTGTATTTGAAAGAAGGAAAACATGACTGTATATCTTTCAAACTGATCCCTAAGTATATGGACAAATTCTTTTAATTCTCAAACATCTTCAATAATCACTGTGGAATATAAGAAGTTGCAATTATTGCTGAGGGAGGATGGTTAATAAAGACTGCAAAACTGTGAGTAAAACCTCAATATTCTAATGGTCTAACTTCTAATATACTCTGAAGGTCAGCAAACTATTGCCCAAGAGCCAAGTGCCATCTGCCAACTATTTTTGTTAAAGCTTTATTGGAATGCAGCCACACCCATTTGTTAAAGTATTGTCTATGCTGCTCTCTACAATAGCAGATTTGAGTAGCTGGAACAGAGGCTACATGGCCTATAGAGAGCCAAAAATATTTACTACCTGGTCCCAACCATAAAACCTTCAAAAACTTTGAAATCATTGTGTGAAGACTGTTGACTTACTTTCAGAGCTCTAACTCTTATTAAACAACAAAGTTTAAAAGACTTGCTAAACAACTTCATTGGGCTAGGAAGATTTTGTGAAGAGTTTGGTGGGAAAGGGACACATTTCGTCTTCTGCACCACAGCAGCTAAAGTCATTGCTGACACCTCCACAGGTAACTTGGAGAAAGGACATAGAACTTTGAGCAACTCTTGAACATCTAACTCTTTCATCTACAAATGCAAGAGGGGGTTGACCTAGATGATCACTAAGCTTTTTAATCTCCATGATTATTTAAAATGACTTAAGTAAAACCCTAAGTGAACTCAGCACCACCTGAGTGCACAGGCTAAACATCTCCTAGCACCTGCCTAAGATGAGGGCAGGGAAGTAAAACATTTCCAAAAAAACAGAAGCCAAAATGGTTAAACAAGGGTATGTAGAAGTTTCTTGTACTACTGTTGATACTTTTCAGTAAATTTGAAATTATAACAAAGTAGTATAAAAACAGTTAAAACAATTTTAAATGTTAGCACTTAAAATGGAAAATTTCAGTTACTTTCTTCATCAACCAAAGTTATCATGATGATAGCCATAACAGATCTGTGATACACATAAGCCACTTCCAGTATGTCCATTGACTCAAATAAGCCTGAGTTAGCAGACTATCCTTACTCCTTCTAACCCTGCATCCTAGAGTGCCATCTTACAAATTTTACCCTTTGAATTTATCTTACTTTACGTAAAACAAGCTAGCTAATAACTAAAGGGATCACAGACAGGTTAGATACAAAAGAAGCCAGAGGTAGAGAGAAGCGTAGGAGAAAGAGGAAAAACGAGTTATGAGGAAAAAGAAGGGATGGAGGGGGAGAAATATGAATAAAACAGCCTAGTTAATCGACAAACTAGATAAACATGTTCCCAATGATTACAAGTGTAACAGTCCTTTGTGATCTTGTCTTTGGGAGAATAGGAAAGCAGACTTAACCCAAACACTTGACTCTCATACGACACATGCACATCTCATATATTTTATATGTACACATACTCCAAAAAGAGATATGAGTTATTTTTTATAAAACACAAACACTAGGCAAAAATTATGCTAACTGAAAAAGTGCCTAGAGAGCCACATACATCCACGCTGTTAAATATAGAAACTCACTGTAATGAGAATCATTATCTCCAGTTTCCAAGGATACCAGAATAAGCACTACTCCTAAATTGCAGTTCATTCAGCAAAGGGCAGAGAGTAATTTATATTCAGGGTCATCTCTGGCTGATAGCAGATGTGGAAGGAGGACCGGGGCAAATCATCCTGTTTGTTCTATTCTCTTTGTTACCCGCTCTCGTTCCTAGTCCCTGACCCCCACCCTCTGGTCCCAACCTTGGCCAATGTTTTATGGGAGAAATTTGGAAAATCTGCTTGTAAACAGCAACTTCCAACAGAAAAAGAATCCACAAAAGGCAGGGCAGTCTGAGACGTGATGAATACTGGGGGTGGGGTGGGAGTTGGCATTCCCATTTGCTTTGTCTGTGAAAAGGAGTGGGGGCTGGTTTTGTGTGTCAGTCACTCTATCGCCATCTTTCCCAGTGCCTATAAAGAAACTGCACAGTTAATTTCAACTTCCCACCCAACCAAGGCCATGTGAGGCTTTTGGAGCCTACCACTCCTAAACTGCCATAGTCTCTAGAATCAGATTCATCTTCAATTTGTTCTGCCTTCTAGACTTTAGGATCTACACCTTTCATAACAATCACTTTTTGTTTCTACGGCAACAAAAATATAAAAACTACTTTCTGAAAACCTAGGAGATACTGCCTCTGAATCATTTATTTGTTTATTCGAGACCATTTATAAATTGCTTTCAATGTGGCAGGCATTGTGGCAGGCCAAGTAGGCAGTGACAAGAAGTAACTGGAGACTTCACTTATGATCACCAGGTAAAGTATCAATAACAGGCCATGCCACTTAGGCAACTGAAGAAGAGACATTCTCCTGCTTGGTCACATTGTCACTTAATAAAATAGTGACGTGGATTTTATGGATACTTGAGATCTGTCTTAAATGTATGGAGAGTACATATAAAAATATGAGCCAAATATAAAAACAATCTTCCATTTAGCTCCTTCCCCATCACCTGTCTACCCAATACAGAAAGACCTCCTATGTGGCACTTCAGCTAGGTGCACACAGGTACTTGCAAAGGGAGGAAAAGCTCTCTCTGCCTTCAAATGTTTCTTTCTGACAGACATGAGACACTGTACCAGGCTAAGCTTCTTAGCTTAATGTGATAATACAGGAGAATAAGCTGCCTATTATGATAATGAAAGCCTTCTAGGACTTCCCTCCTTGGCACCAGTTATATTAATTGATACTAGTCATCGTTTTGAAGAGGGTGAAAGATACAACAAAGGTTGTACAACAAAGGTTCCTAACAGTTATATAACATACACAGCACACCTCAATAAGAGAGGCTATTTTAATATTAACACTTACTACAAAAATTACAACATGTTTCTTCCTATACATTTTATTTTTTTTTCTTTTCCTTATTTTTTTTTCCATCTGTTTACAGCATGGTTTCCTATACATTTTAGATGACCTGAATATCACATATCTAGATGCATTGTCATGAAGATGTCAATATAGCCCAATCCATCGTTTAAAAAAAAACAAAAAACAGACTTTTTTTGGACTATAATATTGTTTGTAACTCCAGTAAAGAAAGTATTAACGGCAAATTTTAAAACTATCAAAACTATATAAAATGGGAAGTCTCAATTCTCTTAAAAGTTATGTCAGTAATTATTTTTGGTGTATTATCCTGATACTATTTCTCACCAGGGGCAACATTTTGAGGTCAGATGGCTTCAGACACGATTGTATGTCTGAATTTTGAAGCTTTGAAAATGCTTACCATGTGAAGGTTAAACTAAATAGGCCACTATTTAATCTTTTTTTCCTTGTCCCACCCCAAGGCTAGTGCTTGGTAGGTGGAACACCAAACGCAGAAAGCATTGGCAAGTCACTGGCAGAAAGGTCACCCTGTGTTTTAGCATTTTTTCTGATAACCCATATCAGTTTTCACAGACCTTTGAAAGTAGAAGCAGGCTTACTTGAAGCGACAAGATGATATTCCCCTCTTGTGCACAGTCAACTTTTTCCCCCCTAATCTTCAGCATGGAAAGTACCCTACCCACCAGTTCAGCAGCCTAGAACTTGGACTTGAGCCACTTGGCTTTCTGGATATAAAAAGCTCACATGATCACCTCTTTCTTTTTCTCCCTATTATTCTAACGTTTAAACTATGGTCTTGGGTGTTGCATACGTCTTCGAAAACACTTTCTAGTAGTTCACCCCCCACACACACACACTTCTTTTTAACTAGAAAGTGTCCAATTGGCACCCCTCAAATCATGAAGGCAGCAAAAACGCCCCTGAGCGCTGTTACCAATTTTTAAAAAGTAGATTAATGACAACCAGAAAGGGATCGAGCTCTGTCGCCCAAGGCCAGTACCCCGGCGTGGTCTGGCGCAGCTTGTACCCCGGGCCCAGCTTGGAGCCCTCCAGCCTCCAGCGCAGCCTCCCCAGCCTCACCTCTCCGCGGAGGCTGCGGGCAGCGGAGACCGCAGTTGCCCCCACCTGGCGGGGTGTTGCTGGGGCGGCGGTGGTCGGAGGAAGGCAGGGGGAGGCTCGGCTGCGTGTGCGTGGGGTGGAGGTGACACCGCAACCCGAGAGTTGCCAGGGGGAGGCAAGGGCAGTGCGAGTGGCAGGAGGCTGCCCGGAGGCTGTTTCCGGCCGCGGGGCCAGCGGAGATGCGGCCAGTTGGCAGCGCCCGGGCGCAGAGCAGCCTCCGGGGTGGGGAGAGTGGAAGCGCCGCTGCGCGCGCCCGGCTCTCGCGTCCCGGGACTGTCCGGGTGGGCTGCGCGGGGGGCGCGCGGGAGGCGGGTGGCGGGACGGCGCCCTCCCTCCGGGCACCGGGGACCGGCCCGACGCGGGCGGCGCGGGGGGCGCGCACTCACCTATGCACAGCTGGATGGCGTAGGCGTAGTAGGACCAGCCGAGCAGGAGGCAGATGAACACCACAGGGATCCAGTACAGCACCCGCCGGCACCGTCGCCTCGCGCTGCCCGGGCCCGAGGGCGCCATCTTCCAGCCGCATCCACCTGCCCAGCTCCGCCGCCGCCGCCGCCCGCTGGCCCGGCTCCGGGGCGGGCTGGCCGCGCCCGGCGCCCCAGGCGCCCCCTGGCCGCGCTCGGGCGGCTGGCCGCCCGGCCAGGCGGGACGGGCCGGGGCGGCGGCCGTTGCGCCGCGGCCACTGCCGCCGCCGTGGCGCTAACTCCCCATCCCGCAGCCCCGAGCCGGCGCCGCGGACTCCCCGCTCCTCAGCCCGGCGGGGGCGGTGGCTGCGAGAGGAGGACGCCGAGGAGGAGGAGAAGAAGGAGGCGACGGTGAGGAGGCGGCGGGAGGCTCTGCTCCGCCCCTGGCCCGTCCCACGGCGCGGCCGGCGGCGCCCTCGGGCGGGCTTTCTGGGGACTCGGGCGGCCTCCGCCGCGCCCCCCGCCGCGCCCGGGGCCCTTCCCGACCCGCGCGCCCCTCGCCGCGGGCACCTGGCGCGCGCCCCGGGGCGGGAGAGGAGGCGCCCACCTTGGCCCGGCCGCCCGCGGGGTTGACCCTGGATTCCGGGTGAACCGGAGGAGGCGGGGCTGCGGGCGCCCGCGCGGAGGCCGGGGCGAGGGCGCCGCCGGGGCCCCGCAACTCGGGACGGTTGGGTGTGGAGGGCGGCCACGCTCGGCGCGGAGACGCGCGCGGGGAGGGGGAGGGGGGCGGGTGACGGGCCAGACCGCCGCCGGCCTGCTGCGGACGGGACCCCTCACCTGCCCCGGGCCGGCAGGGCGCGCGCCGCGCCACCCCGCTTGGGAAACTGTCGCTCCAACTTGTGGGTCCCGGGAAACTGGCGGCGGCGGGGCGGGCTTCGCAGCCCGGGAAAGCGAGCGCGTGGGGCCGGAGCAGCCGGCTCTACTACGCGGGTTTTGGGGGGAACCGACGCGCACCCCTGAATGCGACCCGTCTTCTGGCGTGGGAGGGGCTGGGCAGTGAGGAAGAAGGATTGGGGGTTTGAGTCCAGAAACCACTGGAGTTAGAAAGCCAAGTCATTTGCTGCGAGAATTGTAGTTTCCCTGTCAGATTATTTCCTGACTGTGAGAGTCCCCATTGCCACCCCCCAGAGTCCGGTGGTTCCTTCCAAGCACTCTTTTTCGCAACCCGTTGGTCACTACGATGTTTTCTTTTGCGATGGAAAATGCTAAACTTAGCATCTAGCCGATTCTAAAGCGGTTGCTTGTTAAACACTGGAAGAGATCCTAAAGGTGGTTAGACCAAACCTCTCATTATGGGATGAGGAAAGGAAAGAATATTCGAATGCTTCTGAGGTTGTTTCCGTTTTTTTCCCTTCCTCTGATTACGAACGCACCTGATTCCTCTGGGAACCACTTCAATCAGTGAGTGTATCTAAATTATATACATAATTGCTATATAAATGGGCACCATTTTACTTGACATTAGTGAATATGTATATTTACACCACACAGCAACCACATGCAATGAAATTACTTCATGTGTAGAAGTAGAAAAAACAAAACCATTGATTTAATGGATTCAGTCAAAGAAATTTCGCTCTTACGGCCTTGAGATTATCTTCCTGCGACTGGATTAAACAGCACCCTAATCTCTCCTGAAATAGCTACTACATTACACATACACACCCCAAATCTCTTTGACTTCTCTTAAAAAAATGCATAGAAAATGCCAGTCTTCCTATACGACTTTAAATAAGTGACATGAGAGAATGAGTCTATCCCAGCGAATCACTTTGTTCTGGTGTGGCACTTTCTATTGTATTTGGATATTCCGTAGGGTAGATTAGTAACTTCCCTGGAATCCTCAACTTTTGGACAGTGACCTTATGCTCCCAATCAGAAGAGACTAAAAGCAAAATTGAAAGTCCCTTTCAGGACTGAAGTACCGTCACAAAGATGAGCAAACCAGTGATTGGGGTTAATCGAGACTATCAAAGAATGAAAAGGCAGGGGTCAGATTTCCCACACTAGAAACATCAAAGAAAGTGCATATTGTGCCTCTGTAAAGACCAGATGCTGCAATGCCAAGCGCTGCCCCTCTTCTAACAGTCTTGGGGGCCTGAGGTCAGAAATGAAATCGCATTCTACACAGTTTTCACGTCTTTTATATTTATGGAAGAATATGCAGGTGTAATATCTTTGAAGGAGGTTACATTTTTATTATTCATCCTAAAATGTTATTTAGCTGTTTATAATAAATACTTGTGGAACATTTTCAATTTGTTTTTCTATTTCAAGGGTACTACTATGACTGAGTTCTCCAAGGGTATGGCTTTTATCTTAAAAAAAGAGTCTAGTGTAGAAAGAATTGTCTCAAAAGCTACAAGATAACATGATTGATCTTCACATAGTCTCTAATTAGACAGGCATAAGCATGCATGCACAAATGCAAGCTCTTTGGTGAGTAGCCGATCTCCAGATACCAGGCATTGATGAAAGTGAAAGGATAACTTTAATTTTTAGGAATAGGGAGTTTTCTGATTCCCTCCCCCCCTTATTTAAGACTGTACATTAACAGGAAAATAATTTGAAGGTCATAGACAATTGAGAAATTTCACTAGGGACTTAACTCTTTAGAGAGAAATACAGAAGGTGCAAATCACGAATTTTAATTTAGATGTTCAATAAGTATAAGAAATTGTGGGTTGCATATATAACTATGATAGAACTGATATGGCCATTTATGAAAAAGACAGCCACAGCAAAGGAGAGAGCAAAACTAAGGGGGAGAGGTGGCGAGGGAACAGCTAGGCAAGAAGAGGGTGTGGGGAACACAGAGAAGGGGACAAAGGCTTGCCTACCAGGTCCATCCAGTCCCTAACGACCATAACTCCATTTCACCAGGCCTCTGCCTGGTTGTTCCAACCACTCAGCAGTTTAGCAAAGTCATTCAGCTCTCAATTTTTCAAAATCCCTATTATCAGACCCTGCTCCCATGAAGGGAACTTAATCAACCCCCACTCCCTTCAGCTCAGTGCCCCACATCCTTCAGTTCCCAAACCTCAAATCTATCTTGCCTTCATGTTCAATGCTCCAAATCTTCCTCCTGCTTTCAGATTCAGATTAAAATTTTCACTTACCCCCATTCATAGTATGAATCAAGAACAGCATGCCAACCAAGCCCAGGGAGCTACAGACTCACCCTGTCTCAGGGAGCTTGGACCCCCACTAAGCACCTATCCCAACCTCATCTCACCTTTTCAGCCAAATCCCCTACCATAAACTTTATTAGGGCACTTGCTTGATATTTACTTCTTCCTTTTAGAAGTGTTCTTAGAGGAAAATGTTCTGATAAGAATATATCATTGAAGGATAAGGTCAATTTTATTACTCTCAGATATATGAGAAATTGATTGTGTTGATTTTGCTAATAGGATATGGTACTTGACAAATACTACCTTTTAAATCTCATACAGATTAGAAGGAATGAAGCTGAGGTCTGGATTTACTCTTATTTATTTATTCTTATTTACTCATGACTCCCCCATCCTTACTATAGTAATCTGCAAAAATATTGATAGATTTTCTTTTATTATTTTCTTAAAATAATCATATCATTCTTTTTTTGGGGGGGGGAATCCCTTTAAAAGCTGGTAATCCAAGACATCAGTGACTTCAGTGTTAATCTGCATGTTTATAATAGTGATCAAGGTATTTTTTGTGAAAGAATAATAGCATGCCCTAAACTACATGTTTCTGGAGATGTGTAAAATACAATAAAAGGAAATGTGTTTTAGGGAATGTGGGAATGAAGTAATGCTTAGATATGTTTTGGCTCTCAGAGATTTATGTTTGCAATTAAGTTGTAATGGAATTGAATAGAGTGGAAGATAATTTCAAATGCCTAAGGATATTTCAATGTACAAATGATTTGGTCAAAACATTGGGAAAATTGTAAAGTGGGGCAGGCACACCATCCCTGACAAATCTTGCCCTTCAAGCTTGCTAGGTTTTCCATGAGAGTATTAATGCCTACTGCCACTAGATGGCAGGGACACACCAAGCAGTGCAGTTCTCCTGACCTTTTTCATAGATTTCAATAGTATCAACTGTTAGCTTACCCAAGGCAATTATAAATGATGAATTATAGCTTCATCGTAATTATTTTATAATTATCCTTATACAATTTAATGTTATTTAGTGGCTAATGATTAATAAAATATCAACCATATTCAGGAAATTTAAAAGACTTAAAAGAACAATTTTCTATGTAGCAAATCAGGCTGATTTTGCTTCCACTTCTTTACAGTTTGCATAAAGGTTAATCTGTTTAGAAACAAAATTGGAATTTTTCATTTAAATAAATGTTTTTTGCCTACAATGACCCCATTCATTTCCCCTAAATGAGGAAGGGCAGTGTCTATGAACCCAAAAGATGGACAGATATTTCCTTTCCGTGACTGGCAGCTGTAGCGTGGATCTCTAAGGGGTGAGCCAATGGCATAAGTTCAGTTGGAGATTATTAGAAGTGGCCATTATGGAGCTGAGAGTTCAAGAGCCAAGCAGAGAGTGACCAAGAGCAGCAGAACCCTGCAGTGTGGTGGCAAGTCAAGTGTCCAGGGATGCCAAGGCCAGTAATGCCATCCTAGGCATACTGTTTTTGGTGGCAGGATCTTGGCCATGTACCAGCTTCCTTTGTTCCAGCTCGACTCTACAGGATTCCTTTTGATTCTGTGGGGGTACTTATAGAGTCACAAAAACATTTTTGGTGTAAGTCAACTAGAGTTGACTTGTGTTTACAACCAAGAACTGGGATTGTTATATAGCTTTAATTCCATTCTGCATCCATTTCTTAAAGGGTCAGTTTCAGCTCATGGAGACTGAGGCTCCATGGGAAATAGGGATACAGGAATTTGGAGATGGAGGAAGCTACTTGGTGTCCTTCAAGTCATACTCTCTAGACCTGCATTGTCCAGTAAGTACCCACTAGTGACATGTGGCTATTCAAATGGAGATTGAAATTTATTAACATTAAATAAAAAATTCAGTTCCTTAGTTTCAATAGCCACATTTCAAATGCTTGCTAGCCAGCCACATGTGTCTAGTGGCTA